ATTAATTATGATCAATACTTTATATTAGAAAACAATCAAAAACTTCTATGAAATTACATATTCATCAAATTAATGTGAGTTATTATGCAACCATTTGTACAATCAATATAACTTAATCCCAACTGTCCATTTAATTTGATGAGTATGTGACTTCATAAAAGTTTAAATTGTTTTATAATCTAAAGTATTGATTATAATTAATGAGCCCTAATTATCTTTCATAAATATTCAGATCATAATAAATGAAACTCTCACCATTTCCATAAATATCTCAATTGATTGAGTTGCATTGGTTGTACAWATGTGATGGGTTGCATTTGAAACGTCATATATATATATATATATATATATATATATATATATATAGGTTGGTTATTATAAAACCCTTAACATTTGTGCAACCAATACAACCCAATCTCAACCGTCCATTTTATTTGATGAATATGTGATTTCATAGAAGTTTTGATTGTTTCCTAATATAAAGTATTAATCATAATTAATGAACTCTATTTATATTCCATAAATATTCAAATCATAATAAATGAACTCTCATCATTTCTATAAATACCTCAATTAATTGGGTTGCAAGGGTTGTACAAATACACAAGGTTGTAAAAGAAATATACCCTATATATATATATATATATATATATATATATATAAAGGCACATTCAAGGGAGAACTAACTAGTTTGTGGTAACCGTGAGATCCAATCTCAACCACAAATCTATAGATAAATTAGTAAATTTATAATTTTAGTAATTTTGAATTAAAATTTTAATGCAAAGACATTTTAGGTATTTTCTCCCCTCTCTTTGTCCCTCGTCCTCCGGCCTCAGGCCACCGTCATCCGGTGATACCTCAAAATATTGACTCTGTTAAACAAAAGACACAGTGTGATACCCAAGCACATATAAGATGCATTGTGATACCACTGTGTTATATCTCCGATCAATCACACAATCGACATCAATATGATACCCAAGCACATATAAGATGCACTGTGATACCACTGTGGTATCACCGGAGGCCGGAGGCCAGGGGACGGAGAGAGAAGAGAGGAGAGATGAGAGAAAAATACTAAAAATGTTCTTGCATTAAAATTTTAATTCAAAATTACCAAAATTATAAATTTCTTAATTTATCTATTGATTTATGGTTGAGATTGGACCTCACGGTTACCATAAACTAATTAGTTCTCATTTGATTAGGTTCCTATATGTATATAGTTTAAAATAGGTCATATAA